TTCACTCATCTTTAACTCTATATATTTATGTAAATTCGATAAATTCCATAACATTCGGAATATCCACTCTGACGTTCTTGTGCAGCAAATTTCTTAACCATCGATTTTGAGAAAAAAAGCAACTAATTTCCGTTCAAGTGCATTCATTCTTTAACGAAGGCTCGGCCCATATGTGGGTGGCAGCTATTTGCCTTCATTTTACCACTCCATTCTGTTTCTTAGTTTTCGTGGATATAACCCTACCCATCTTATAGTCTTTCACAAACCTTCATAATATGCTTTTCTAGAGAAGAATCACTTCAACGCGCATAGAATTTGATGAGGACTCGTATTTCTTTTTCCCGGTCACGTGTTTGTTTCTCGTTTTTGAAGTAGAGTAAAATATAATAAAGTACTGTAAAACTTTGGCGTGACTTTTTATGGCATCGCTTTTGGCCAGTTTCATAGCTTGGCCAGATAATTGCATACCCACAGTGAAGGTCTTCAATGCTCGCAATATTCGCCTGGATGGACTGAAGGTTGAATTTTGATTTGTTTTTGGTTCGTTTTACTGCCGATGTCGGCTAGTCCGCTCATCACGGCATTCGTTTGAGCACTTGATCAGATGTGGTAAATAACGCCATCAAAAGCTTAGTCAAGGTGAAAAGATGCACGAAAAGGTAAGTGGTAACACACCTACCCGTTGACGAAATATCGGGTTCGCATCCCGTCGGGAAGGGAGAGCTTTGTCCATAACTCAGACACTTGCGATAACCAAAGGTCTGGTTAACAATTTGTAGAATTGAAATAATTTATCATAAATAAATCATGTTATGGACAAGAAATTTGAACCTTGGTTCTACAAGACAAATTCACTTCACGGAAACGCTCAACCGTACCACAAGAGAGATATCTTAAGAGTTAGTGAGTACATGAAGATCAAGAAGGGTAATTTACGATTTAGTGAGAATTTCGCGGGCATTTTCGCTGACGATATTCTCCATGGCCATTACATCTTTGCTCCAAGCCGCGATGCGATTGGCCATGGCAAGCACCTGAAGCCAATTTTCAGCCAACGTTCTTTAAATTTGAAAATCGAAAAAGTAAAATTTAAGTAACACTTTGGTAAGTAAGCAGGATGTAACAAGAACAACTCTTACCTGAGTTGTATTCAACACCCTAGGTTGTACCCATGTTATCAAAACAGTTTTATTGACTTGATCGATTGCACCACGGACCAAATCCTTGCTCAGCGCTTTCATCACCAGGAATTCAACCTGAAGCGATATTTCGCGTTAAAGCAAACCTCATTCGCAGCATGTTTCAAATAAATACACTAAAAGGGAAATGAGAAGAAAATGGAGCGGTAGAAGGTGCAAATACTCACTCGTGTGTTAGGGTACCTGCCACTTTGCTGCGACTTTGCAAGGTGACTTTACGCTCCTTCGGAGGGACGCGCAAGAGCGACAGTTGAAAGTTGGCAGCAATAACCTCGCTATAATCGACTCGGTTACACAACTTATAATGAGACAGCAATCTCAAGTAGTCATCTGTATCCCGGAACTGTTCTGATATAATTGAGCGGAAAAGATCTTTCTAGGGAAAGGGGTCTTAGAACATTCAAATTAATTTGGTATTGGCCCTACAAATCAGCACAGATTGGAACCGTACCTCCATGATTCTAGAAGTGGATTTTAGCCCACAGAAAATCCGCTTGCTTTTTATAGATCATCCAATTCTGACCATGTGATACTGCTCAAAGGCATAGAATTTATTGAGATCTCCACATTTAAGAGGCATACAGACCGAGACAGTACAGATAACTAGAAATTTGCAATGAATCAATCTTCGTTGTAATCATTATCCCAAAAATTATTACAAAGCTCAACTTCAGCAACTCGTAAAGTAACCAAATGGTAAAAAACCTACCTCAGACAACCATTTCTCACTGGATCCTTCCAGAGCTTTCAAAATTGGGTGAGCCAGCTGAAAATGCAAATTTTACAGAATGTTAGCGTAGAAGAAGTGGCTTGAGAGCGCTCCATTCAAACTCGTGGTCTGATCTAGCAGAAGAAACTCACCAATTCTCCAAAATTGTACACATTATCACCGAGTAGAGCAGCGAATCCAATTAATACAGCCTAAGCATGAGAATTCAATGAATTGCAAATTAGACAGTTTATTCCACCTCACCTGTACATGCTTCTCTTCAGCAGACATTTTATTAATGTCTTCAACACCGAGGTAACGAAGAGCTTCTCGATAGTATCCAGCAAAGTCGCCCACCTCTTTCAGATACATGGGCCAGCTTCACCTAAAACACGGATGAAGGAATTTACACGCAATCCTGGCTTCCTGAAAAACACATTGCCAAATCCTTATAAAAAGGAGCATGGGCCTCCGTGACTCCAACAAAGCTCTCGATCTCCTTCTGGGTCAACTCTATGAGATCCTAAAATAGTTCGAACTACCAGTGAATATTATGCAACCACAACCTCCCCTGAGACTAACCTGAGTGGACAGAAGACCTACCCGGACTTTTTTGATGTCAACCAATCGATCATTTCCATCCTTGTGGTTGAGCCGGAGTTCAATTTGACCGGCATGGATGCGTGCCAAAGCAACCTGAATCAGTACCCTGAATGCTATGCCAACTAGCCTTGTCACAAAGAAATTAAGCGCAGTGTTTATTCATCTATATTTAATATTTATAGACTAATAATGGTTGGAAAGTATTAGAGAGTCGCTCCGTATTTGTAGTTAGAACCACTCAGTTGCGCCATGCATTTCAAGTGCTTGATATTTGAAGCCATCCATCCATAATCCATACCATTACCATTCATAATAGTTGACATCTGCATAACCATAGCTTACCATAACCATACCATAGATCTCATAGGCATTCCATTTGAGAGACATGATTTTCCTATCCCAGACGAATCTGGGTACCAATTCACCGACCCCGAAGGGATGGAAGGCTTGGTTGGCCCAGTGCAAGAAATCAAACCAGCAATAGCCAAATGCTTGACTACTTCTGAGAGTAAACAGTACAAATCTAACAAAAAACCAACACAACACCGATAGTAATGGACTAAGTCAAAAAATATGCGAAAATAGAAAAAGGCAGCACTACATACACGGTAAATCAACAATTATAGAAATACTAAAGCCATTTAGCGAATAACAACAGTTCTAGACAAAAACATAATAACTATCACAATATTGTTCATAGATTTTATAAATTATTTAGAACTAATGTGTAAACAAACAAAGAGAAACAAAAAACATTCACACCTCACCAATCCAAGCCAAAACTTTGTTACTGCTACCACAGAGAAACAAAATTGAACAACCGCTCAGCGGTCCAAAGCATAAAAATTAAGAGGAGATGGGTTTTACGCGCTAATTAAATGAAAAAGCGGAAGTTTGCGTTCAGAACCGTGCAGTAGTAACTTTTTAAGATCCCCTGGTCGGGTGCAAACCTATTCAGAAGAATTCCACGAATGTGGTTAAGATATGTGTGTTTTCCCCTCACCCACACCCCTTCTCCTACACCTTACATACCCAAAAAAGAGAAAAGGAAAGTTGCTCTATTGGTGTTGCTATCACTGTAACGTCGTCGACGGAGACTGTGTGCTCTTCACGCAGCACGAGAACCATCCTAGTGCGTTCCATCCTAAGTATGACTTTGGAATTTAATGGCAACTGTTATTTTCATTGGTTCGAGGCTGGAAATCGTGTGAAAGATCTTTTTTCTACATGATTAACAGCTTCAATCGAACCACTGAGAAGAATAGTTGCATAAAATCTCAAAGCCAGACTTAGGATGAAAAAATACAGGGATGTGCTCGTACTGTGTGAGAGACATAGTCTCCCGGTTCGACAACGTTACAACTGAGCACCAATAGAGCAACTCTATTTCAATGGACGTCAACGAGCGGTCAGACTGCAGATGGTCAATCAATTCCAAGTGATTGTCCTTCGTATTGTCACATAAATTTACTCAAAGAGAAAAATGAAATACATCATACTTGAAGTGCAGAAGCCGTTTACCAATAGTCTACCTCTCGCCCTTGCCCTTTATCACAGAATAGGGCTGTTGTTATAGATCGCTCGAGTGCGTGGGAAGTGCGCAATCCATGGAAAACAAAAACCGTGCAACCAGCATATGTATTGATTTGCAAGGCTCACCCCTCACTAGGAAATTCGAAGCATTCCGTGGTTTCTACGTATTTCACGGCGGCGTGAAGAATAAAACTACCTAACAGTGCTTCTGCTTGAAGATACGGGACGCGATCGAATTGGTGTGCTATTTCACCCAAAAATGAAACAAAAGATGCGAAAAGGACAATCAGTGAGGAAAAATAGCAAAAGGAACCATAGAAAACTGGAATTGGACACCTCATTTTGAGAGGCCCACAAAGGTAAAAAGAAGAGTCAAAGCGCTGCGAAGGGAAGGAAACGCGAAAAAGCACGTTGTACAACAAGGCACAGGCACCACGTATGCTACGATCAGCAAGACCGGTGGCGGTGCAGTGGTCAAGACAAGGTGTTGGCGCCCTTATGATGCTTTTTCGAGTCGCGACCAGGGTGAGCTGACGGTCGAGGAAATCCTCGACCATGGCACTGCTGTGCGAGAGTAGTGCCGAGAGCACAGACGCGCGGAGAGGCGAGTGTGAATGTCCGCGCGGAGAACGTAACTGATCAGGCGAAAATCCTCGACGTGCCGTTGAGGAATCCTCGACCGATATTCACCCTGGTCGCGACTGTCCCACGACCTTTGTGCTTAGAGACCCTGCCATCTCATCATGGAGGAGTTCCCTGAGAATCTCCCAACCAGTGCCTTTAAATGCACTGATCCAGCACCGATTGAGACGTTTGCAAAAACCTTAAATTCACCTACAATCGCGAAAAAAGACTGTTATAATATACCTTGCAGCAGAATGAAAAGGCGCAAGCACGCCAAAACGGCCACTACACGACAAGTATGAGAAAACTAGTGGGAACGGGATGATGAAGGCGACCCATGGCGGTGACGCCTGCGGCTACGCGATCGTGAACGCGAGCGACTGCGCGAACGAGAGCGTCTTGATGATCTGCGCGAGCGAGAACGAGAACGTGACCTCCTCAAAGAGGAGCCAAACCGATCAACTCGAGGTAAAGCATGACCAACCCGTATGCGATGATTATCAAGGTACGACTCATCCATCATCCGGATGGCTTCCTCAGCATCTTTCTCCCTCTTGAATGTAATGAATGCGTAGTACGGGTAATAGGAGGCAAGCCAGATATCAATCACTCTGCCAAATTTTTCAAATTCTCGTTCAAGATCTCGAATTGAGATAGATGATGGTAGTCCAGAGACATGGATTCTACCACTTATGACGCGACGATTAGTTCTTGGCACAGGAGAATAGGTGCGGGAACGAGAACGCGACCTAGAGCGGCGGGAACGTCGACTTTTGCGACCTCTGCTCCTGCTTCTTGACCGACTTCGGCTTGAGCTGCGTCTTCTGGAACGAGAGCTGGAGCGCGAGCGAGTCTTCGAACGAGAGCGCGAGCGAGAACGTGAACGTGTGTTTCCCTCGTTCTTCTTCTCTTCCTTTTCTCCAAGTGGAAAGAGGTCGAGTTTCGGTACACTCACTCCCTCAAACAAACTTGGGTAATTGGAAAACTTCTTGTATTAGTAGTTCTATCTGGTTGGAAAGAAAGCATTCAGGGTTACTTTTAAATTCACATTCCGCTCTTTTATTCCCATACCAGTTTACCAACGGACAGGGTTTTTCGATTCCTGCAATTGCTCTCCTTCGACTCGGTCCGTGTCAGACCTTTTGAGCTCACATGCTACATTTAGTGAGCATGAGCTGCAAAACGCTCTCTCTCGAAAGAAGCAGAAGTTCATTCCGTTCATAAAAATCGCGCAGACTGGGAGATGAGTTATTGGATAACTGAGGCAAGGATCTTTATTCGATATTGAAATCACAATTGATAATTTCTACCGTCTAGCTGATTCTCCTACCTCTTCCGCAACAGTTGTCGTGATCCATTTGCCATGAACCGCGAGGGGTATGAGGCTGATGAAAGTAACGTCAGATAGCTTTAAAAACGAGCCTTCTCGAAATGAAAACCGTTTTCAACCCACGCAGGGCCATCACCAAGTTAACAAATACCGCATTTACGGGAACAACAAAACAGAAGGTTTCAAACCATGAAAAAGATGAAGTTTTCTCTACAAGTGGCAGTGCTGAATTCCAATAAGGTTGGATAGTCTGGAAAAAAAAACCCTTACCGAGCACTTTCTTTCCAACCAAATATTTTTCACGCTTCACTAACCTGGACTTCTTCAGCCTTCAGGAAATTTGAAATTTTCTATCTTCTAGTTTATACTTTGGCGAAGGCAAAGAAATCGACATTAATCATAAGAAAACAATATCAAAAATGATCTGCTATACTTCCACAGAATATGAACAGAAACTTGACAAAGAATTCACTTTACCTTATCTTTGCTTACAGTCTTTTCAATTTTGGCAAGAAACTCGTACGCTGCCTCCTTGTCTAAAAAAAAAAGCTATTGTACTAAACATCAAATTAAGAAAAATTGACTCACCTTTTTCGAATATGTATTTAGCAATGGGCAGTGCGATCTCCACAAGCTGCAAGGCATTTATACGATGCTCGAACTCGGAAATGAATCTAAAGTCATGGAAGATAACATGTTTCATAGCGTTTTTAAAATTCTGATCTTCGATGCTCACCCGTCGTAGAATTCTTTCTGGTTTAACGAAGCAGTGAAAGCTGGATTTGCTTGCGCAGCTCGAATTTCCTGCGTTAGTTGATGCCATAGCCTGCATACGTAGAATCATTAAATGGCACTGTAAACAGTTTGAGAGCGAAATTTGGAATCTCGTCCATTGGCTCAAGTTTGTTTCATTTGTGGCTAAGGCTCTAGCGTGGTTGTTGCGCAATGAGCTACAACAAGCGCAGATCTGTAATCCCCACGAACAGTTCTATCCTGACAGACTGATCCACCTGAGGTCGTATCCTATCCTTCCCCCAGAGGGATGCGAACCCCGCCGCTGATCCATCCTATAGTTGGGGAGACAAGGTTGCGTCATAGGAACCAGCCATACTCTGAGTTTCTAGACTCCAGACAGCGCAACCCCTCAAAGAAAAGAGCGCCGCAACAGGGCAAGGTAACTACAAGATCACGCGTTCAGTGGCAGGTCCTGACGCAACCCTGGCTCCCCAAAGCTTAGGATAGAAATAGCGGCGGGGGACCCCCTGGGGGAAGGATAGAGTACGCCCCGTGAGCCACCGTGAAAATCTCTTTAAGGGCCGTTCATAGTCGGTCGATTATCGCAACGGTCGTGATCGCAAAGCGCGTCGATCGTTGGGCTGGTGTCAGAGTCTCCATGGCAGGTATCGCGCGATTTACGCGATTCACGCAACGGTTCACGGAAATCAATACTGTAAGGTGTTCTCCAATCCTGAAGCCACTAATGCTTGGTGGTGATGACTGAATGACGACTGACTCATGATTCCGTATTTCATATCCAGTATTTCAAATGTTGAAATGGGCACTTGCAAGTTTTGCGATCCGCGCAAACCGCTTGAATCGCGTAAATAGCTTGAATCGCGCGAATCACGCAAACCTGCTAAATCTGCGACGGATTGCGGACCCTGACACGAGCCTTAGAATAAACCCAATGTATTGATTGATCAGTCCATATTAATGCTGTGCGATCATTACAATGCCGACTGGTCTATGAACGCACCTAAAGCAGTTAAATACTTCTCAATCGACGCGATGCCACGACTCGATAAGTACACTCCCATACGACGAACTGCAAGCGAACTTATATGTCCCGACCCAGGGCGCATTCATAGTCGGTCGTCCGATCGCAACGATAGCTTGTGTCGCACGTCAGACGATCGATATGTATGCTGTGCGATCGCTACGATCGGACGACCGACTGAGCATGCGCCCTAAATAAGATCCAACAACCTTGGCTGCTTCGATCAGTAATTGTCCGGACGAATATTTACTTGATAAATTATCATGTGCATATCATACTATTTATCAATTGTATAATTTTTACTGCTTCAAGGTTAGCAAACACTCTTGATTTTGTCTGGCTGCACGGCTGTAGAGAATACTCATCAAAAGGAAACATTTTGACGGAACTGGTACTGATATTACTGAAACCGTACGCTAACTTTGATCACGTGGCATTTAAGAAGGGTATAATTCGCTCTAAAAGGAGGTGCCTAGTCCCTTGAGACTTGGAAACTCTTCACTAAAAAGAGCAAGACAAGAAGGCACGACTGATTTGGAGCAAATTGATCGATTTTTACAAAGTTGTAATTGAGACCCACTTCCTTGCGTACAGCTGCTCGAACTTTAACCATATATCAGCAACATCTCCCTTTGCTGCTTTCTTGTTCTTTGCAAGGTATGCCTCCACTCTTTCGGACATCTTAAATGAAAATGATATGACCACTAAATTGCGGATCAATTGGCAAACGCTGACGGAGATGTTGAGCACAGATAAGCTGGTTTTTGACACATTAATAACAACAGAAACAACATATGAAGTCCTATTTGAACTTTTGTGACGGAAAAGTACAACATGAAACATGCAGTAACGAAAAGTAAAACGCTGAACGGGACGATGATCATTCAAAGTCATCGTCCGCATAATTGCGTCAAGTCAAATTTACGCGACGACATTTCACGTACCTCAGCAAAATTATGCAAACAAAATGGAGGAAAAAACTTTCAAACAACATCTGATTCATTTCCATTTCATTCATATGTTACAGCTAAGCTGGCAGAGTTGCATAGAATTTGAATTTGAACAATTTACTATTGGGTGGTTGCTAGTAGTCGTTTTTTCGACTTAAGTTTATTTGAAATACTTACCCACTCTGTGCAGAGCATAAAAAGTGAAGGTATTCCGGGCGATTCCCACGCTCTGCACGGATTTCACGGGAGCAGCATGTATGATGCGAACAATGGGTAATTTAATTCCTGGGCTTCGTGAGCGAGTTCTGAGTGTGAACGCTAGCGTTCAGACTTACCGTAATTCGCAGTTTCCATCGTTCGAGGGTATGGGAACATCGGGAAAACCGGGTGAAGCCCAATGATGCGCTCTAGTAATATTCCCATCCAGGGACTTTGTTTCTCTCGGCGAGACATGACGTAATTGCAGATTTAGTAGCTAAAGTCGGCATGCAAGTGCATCAAAAGCACATCTGATATTGCTTTTTGTGATTTCTTTTCGAATTTCTCACTTGGCATGGTGATGCTGCAGTCACGACATGCTCGCCGCTGGGAAATGAGTATTCCAGACTCTTTGGTGCGGCCATACTTTGTGACTGCCTAGCACTCGTTGGCAGCTCAAGTGTGGAATAGATACGTATCGATCATGCGATCTCACGACCATACGATCGCAAAATCGATACGTATCAATTCCGCACTCGAATTGGAGGCGTTGCCAGAATCTGAAAGTTTTTTGAAGGGAGCTTTTTGAAGCAGTTTCAGTGTGCTCACGCTCAGCAGAGAACTAACCAAGCGCGATTTCCACTCATCATCAGGCTTATCAGTTATTTGTTCAGTGGCGGTAGCGTTCAGCGCGTTTTTTCAACTCACCGTACTTTTTTTTGTACCTATACTTTCTGACGACGCATACTATTAGTTAGTTTATTTTTCTTTGGAAGGGTGGGGGGGAGGGAGCGGGGGGGGGGGGACAGAAGGAAGAGAATCCTTCGGAATCCAATCCTCGTCAGGACAACCAAGAAGGGTCACACATGGCGTAAAATTTTCCCATGCTATCCCCTCCCCCCTTCTTGCATAATCTTTCCAGCTGAAATATCTCGACACATAGGGGAGAGGGGATCGGATGGGGAAGGGGATGGTGGAGTAGCAATGGTGAAAAAGTCAGACCGCTAAATGATTTTCAGACCATTCCCTGAAAATCCTGAAATCCTAGAAAAAATCGTAAACATTTCTGGCAAGCTGATTCTTCTCTAGTATCCCTATCTCGAACCCGATGTTTATGCGGTTACCTACCACCTCTCTATGCTTTGCCCTGTCAGTAAGAACTTCCTTATTCTAGGGTCTGTATGTGGTACCTCCTCTCCTGCCTCTCACGCGAGTAAGGATAACACTTTTCAATAACATAGCCTGTCTTTGTATTCTTTGTGAACAAACCAGTGCCCTTTTTACCTTGGCTTCTGCACGAAGTCAATGTGAAGATTGATACTCGACTACGTGCACTTTATACTTTTCATTCTTTCACGTCACTCAACTTGGATATCCCTAGACAATAGTGACATTAGCCCGCTCATGACATGACCGTATGACCTTCATTGCCGACTAGTAATCTGTCCGTGATGGATAGAATCTCGACTTTGACGTTTTTCTTCGCGATTATATCTTCCTTCATTACTTGATTTGTTTTAGAATTTAATTCACGTATTTTTCTTTACTACTTGTACACCAGTTGTCCAACCACTCATTGTATAGGCTGAATAGCATTCAAGTTTCACTACGATCTGAATGAAAGTGGAGTGCGCGGCGCATCTTAAAAAGTGATCGATAAACGTCGGGAGATTTTTCATTCGTTCTTTGAATTTCTGCAAGCGGGATTTGTAAATTATAGCTTTAGTTATGAACCAGCATCCCCAGCATGGTTGCAATATTCAACAAATCGGGGCGAATGTGGGACAGTGGTCAGAGGCGACGCTGTTACTCGACCGATCTTTGAGTCGAAATGCTTCCATGCTGATGAGGATCTGTACTTCATAACGGTAACTAGGACAGAACAGGGCTGTGCGAGAGGATTGCTACCCATCGTGCGCTCAAAATAAATGTATGGGTGCCATGGTTCTGGCCACGAAGGAGAAAAAGGTAAAAGAAACCGCAAAACCTCTTGAGGAGGGTACTCCGTTTGCCACTCACTTTCAAGCGTTGCACGAATTAACGGTGAATTAGCAAATCAAGCGACCAGACGGCTAGAGGACGAGACAGCGAAAGGCCAAGCAAGACGCAGACCAGCTCATGGTGCTCTTGTAAGTTTGAAGCTCAACAAAAGGTCATATCATTTATTATAACCAAGAAAATTACGGTAATTATGATAACCTGAAATTGGGATCACTCGAAGAAAAAGGTTTCCCAGTAAGGCTACGCTGAGTTGATCGTTGAGCTCAAATATGCTTGCATTATCTGCTAAACGATTCTCTGAACTTATGGTCAATCATGAAGCTGAAATGTGAACGGCAGTGGTTAGGACTTGCAGGCAGGGAGTCCTCGGATCGACTCCTTTAGGCCGATGTCAGACTTTGCGAATCGCGCGAATCGCTAGTAGCGAATCGCGCGATTCGCAAAGTCTGACATCGGCCTTACGGTGCTGCTTTTCCAGGACACCATGCCCTTTTCGAGTACCTTCCCGGTACACTACCGCTCCGCTTTTCGTCCTCATAACGACCTTTCCATCTCTTGGATCGGGAACTTTTTAGAATTGAGTGAAATCATAGTGGAGCTCGGCATTAGAAGGCGTTTCTAAGAATCCACACCACATTTTAATTTGCCACGTTGGCCTAATGCCCTTTCTTGGTGAATTTAAAGAACATTCTGTTACTCAGCTGAAGCTATCAATAGTCCAATCCAAGAGATGGAAGGGTATTGAATGGAAGGGTATTGAGCGAGATTGACCTCAGAGCTGGGCAAATGGCATTCACCCCTCTTGTCAATGTACCCGTTCCCACCCCGATCATAGAGTTGTCCGCCTTCCCACCGTCTCCCCACAACAACAATTTGCCATAATTTTGCACAGGATCATGTCTGACGTCAGTCGTAAATCATCATTGGATTTTTCATCATCTTGACATCGATTTCCTCGAACATTTTCGCTCATTTCCCTTTTCACACTTCATTGAGTGTCGTTTATCATTCGGGCAGGCCAAAGGAGCGTTGTTATGTCGCCGATAATGGCTGAATGTACGGCACATGCTGAGAGTGTGAGAATGAGTGATGAGAGAACCATTCCCCACCCTAACCGACCGATCACCAACATCATCAGACCCACATCTGAGCGACGATGACGCAACCGTCAGTGATCGGCAAATCTGTAGACGATTTTTTCGGTGGTAAGTTAGGATTTCTTTGACTAGCTTCTATTGCTACATGTGCTACGAGCTCAGAATGAGAGGTGCAAAGTTTCACTTGGTGACTCAAAGCTCCCTTGAATTGGCGAGCAGGTTTACTTAGGTAGCAAGTAAGTACTCCACACACACCATCTCGAGCGTACTACGTATCCTCTGACCAACAATTCGCATCATCCAGTGTTGCCCATAGAAGTTATAACAACAAATGAGCCCCCTGCACAACCAGCTGGCCTGGAACCAGACAGATCACATGCATTTTAAACCGCCATTACGGCACGTCTGATATAAAAATGAAAATACACGGCCGCATCAAAAATGTGCATCGACGTGTATTTTTACTTTCCCGCCACTGTTCAAATCTTTTTCGAGCTTTATTCGATTCAATACTAATTATTCTTCACTTTATTCCATTTGCCTCACCAAAAGACGTACATAGTGCTATCTTATGAGCAAGTTTTTTCTTTCGTAATCAGTATCTATGTGGCTTTGCAGAAACCAGGATGCGGAAGACCTTTGTATTTCGGAATCAATCTGGATCTGACCCAGACTTAGCCACATATTAGGTACGCGCTTTCTCATAGAATTGCTCCCTTTGATTATTTATTTATTTATTTTAATTTCCTCAATTCTCCCTGACGCTTACTATGAGGGACGCCGAGCCAGAAACTTGCTCAAGCAGCGCGGCCGCTAGAGGTTATTAACCTTTGCTGACGGGAACAGTTATAAGTAAATGCAGCGTATTAACAGCCTCAGTCACTGCTATCAACTAGGTGCAAATAAGTAAAAGTTTGGCACAGTATAGTCCACATGCGCTTATCTCGGGATCACCTGCGATTATTTCATAGAGGAGGACAGGTGAGAGAGCGTGGGGGAGCGGGGGCGGGCGGCATCCACATCATGAATGGCATTACAAGCGATGTAAATAGTCCTCCGATTTCAGGAAATTCATTGCAAATTTGGTCAAATTATTACGTCTTTTCAGGGCCTGTTAATTCAGTGGTCGGTTTCTGCAGCCTTCTTTTTTGAAATTGAATGAACTCTCACAATAAGGGGCATCCCTGCTAACCTTACTCTCACTGCTCATTTTTCTTTCCTCATTTGAGTGTCATCCTGTCACATTTGCTTACCTCTGCTGTTCCGAGCTGGCGATTCCGATTTCCGAATACGAAATGCCGGTGTTTTTCTCTTCACTTCCATAATGTCGGCTAGCTAGCTGCCAGCAGGCTGCCAGAGGGCACGCAGAGCTGTTGGCGATATTAATTCTGCATGAGTTGAATTTATGAGGGAAATCTGCCTCCGAATCCCTTATTTATCCTTCATCAGAAACATCGCTCTTCATCACTGCTATGAGCTCTTTACGAGTTTATCCCCCAGTTTTGATGTACCATAACTGATGCATGAATGTACGATGGAAAAAAGCGTCCATTTTCAGGTCCCCCATCGCGACGAGGATCGCACGTGATTAGTGCGATGATCTCTAATGAGTTATCAGCCAGTGTGCCCTCGTCACCTCTAGCCTCTTCAGCGGAGCGTGTACGGAAGCATGGCCCACGAACTGATGCTCTTGACGTAGGTTTCTCAAAATTATTCTTCGAGCCTTTTTTGCAAGGACGGCTCCGCGGGTCGGTATGCAAGACAGTGGATGCGATGGCTGAGAGGCGGTGCATTTATTCAGATGACCTCCGTCACCGACGTTGATGGAAGGGCTTGAGGGTGTGATCACGACCCAACGTCCCAACGCCCTTTCACCAATGATACCCCATAACCCGATCCCCTCTATGCCGTCGCCTAGTGCCCTCTGAAAGAAATGAAGGATGTGTCAGGCAACTCGACTGGTATTCCAAAAGTCCTGTTTCTGAGACTGAAAAATCTTTTTGGCAGCGTGTTCTGGCTCGTGGAGTTCTTCTGAAGTCATTTCCACGAAAACGGGTTCTTTTGAACTTTGAGGAGACTTTTCAAGATTGAATAGGTGTGAGTTACTGCGCTCGAAAAGGACACTCTTTTGCGAAATGGTTCATTGTAATAGAATAGAGCTTGCTGAAAAGCTGCTAAATGCTGAAAAGCTTCGTA